ATTCTATCGAAGCTATTTTTCTACTGTGTAGCTTATAAATGCAGATGGGAGCGAGAGCTCCTGCTTACCCTATCTGCACCGTGGTGGTGCTTTCACTGCGGACTCAGCATGAAGCACACGTGGACCCCTTTACTCAGGTGAATTAGTGCTGAGTGTCTGGGTAGGGCGGAGAAGCTTGTCTCACCACAGTACACAGTTTTCTAACTCTTCTCTTTGAGAGCCCAGAGTTTGCGTGTACACGCAAACTCCCCCTTTCAACAAATGTTGTAATTTTCTTTTGTGCTGTAACCCTTAAGATTATCCTGGGTTTGAAACCAAACTATTTGAGATCATTTGTTTTCTCCTCCAGACTCTAAACGCCATGCTCTTGATTGTCTAGTGACTCCGTTTTCTAGAGGTAAATGAAGATTTGCAAACAGTTCTTTCCTAGATATAAAGGTCATAGCTCAGGCTGATGGGCCATGTGCTGGTGAAGAAGCTAGAGGATGAGTCATGTGTATCTTTCGCAGGTGTTCAGTGTGGCATTCCTCAGGAAAGTCCCCATCCCCAGTGCCTGGCCTGGAGCTCTGCAGGCATCACTTTCTTCAATTACCGTATGCCTGAATAATTGATAGAGTTAAGTGAATGCAGTTTCCCTTTTTCCACTAAGTTCCCCTTGAGTGCTTCAGCAACATGAGGCAATTTATCATGCTTTTTGTGCAACAGTGCATAGACTTTTTAAAGAATGAATTTAGACTTTCCCTTCCTGTCCAAAAAACAAGCTCTTCTCAGCTTCGAAAACTTAAGTCCTCATTAGGAAGGTTGGACCAGCAATGTCAGCAGGAGCAAGTGACCCAAATCATAGACCCCCCTATTGTCTTTTTCATCTTGCTTCATTTTCATTTGGAGAAAGACCCAATTAAGAACATTGGTGGGGTATTCTAAGGATGTTTCCTTCACAGAGATTATATTCATCTCTTTGGCAAGAAAAATGCCAAGGCAATTAGTGGCTCTGAGGACCACTAACTGTTTGTGTACTATTTCAGAAGAACCCATTGTGGGCATCATTGCCTCTACACAGAGCTTCCTTTTAGAAGGTGAATGCTTCTTAACCAATTGGAATATGCTTAAAGTTGAAATAGAGCTGTCACACCCTCACAAGGACGCCTTTATTATACATTCCAGATTAGACAACACCGTGATGCTAGGCAATGGAGACATGGGTTTCTTTTCATCATTCTTCTCTTCCCATCTCCAGCTTTTAAACAGTCCAGAATGTTTCCTTGATATATTTCCAGGAAGCCTGCTGCTGAAATGAGGGAATTTAAAAACTGAAGAACTTAGTCATATCTTAGGTGACATTCTAATAAGAAACCCAGTTTTGGATAATAACTCAACTGGAGCTAATTCTCCACTATCCCTGAGGGTTGAGAAATAGCCTGTCCAAATTAATCAAATGTTCTGGTGCCTTGTATACTCTAATGTTTAGTGGAGTGATGGTGCTACATCTTACAGGATCAAAAATTTGTAAAGAATTAGAAATAATTATAAAGCCAAGAGAAATATGACTTAATCTTTCAAGACAGTAGCCTAGGACCTTACAGGTACTACTTAGCAGCATTAGGAGCAGCTGCTGATTTCCAGTGGCTATACAAATCATGCAGGTTAATAAGGTTCTCCTTAGTAGAATGCCAAGAAATAAAACTAACTATGATATTCAAGCATTAATGCAGAAAGTAATAATCATACCTTTACAAAGAAGCCAACAGATTAAAATTTGGTTTTTTAATGGTATAAATTAATCTTTATGTAAATTCACTATAACTTTCAAGGGGTTTTGCAAAAATAAACTAAAACAAGTAGGGAAATTTTAGATTGAGGAATAGAAAATATGTGTCTTGACAATACTTGTCAGAAAATAAAATTGTTGGTATGCAATGGTAATCAAGAATTGCAGCTTTCAGGCCCTCCCTGGTGGTGCAAAAGGTTAAAGCACAGCACTGCAAGAATGCTGTGACCTCTTCAGTGTGAGTTTAATCCCCAGCCCCAGAGATGATCCACAGGGTTTGGCAGACCTCTCCTGACCCACCCCCTGCTCCCCTAAGCAGTGTACTTTATCAAGCTGCCTGTTCTGCTCCCCACTTTGTCTCTGGTGAATCGTCTCACTGCCCCTGCACCTCTGCCCTCTATCCCAGTTCTGTATGCATAAGTAAATAAATTTCACTTACACAATGATTATATCCCACCACCTCATAGCCTGAAGGACACCTGGAGTACACTTTTCTTGGGGGTGAGGGGGTCCTAGATATTTTCCCCAGAAAACCAAAACCTGATCTTGTGGAGCTTCCATATGACTAGCAATCCCACTCATAGATATCTACTCAAAAGACACAAAAACACTGATTCAAAAGACACCTGCACCATCCCCATGTTTATTGCTGCTTTGTTTATAATAGGAAAGACATGGAATCAACACAAATGCCCAAAAGTAGATGACTGGAGTAAAAAGATTTGGTCAATATACCCAGTGGAATATTGCTCAGTGATAAAGATAAAATCATGCCTTTTTGTAGCAACATGGGTGGAGCTCAAAGGCATCGTGCTTATTGAAATAAGCCAGAAAGAAAAAGAAAAATACCAGATGATTTCACTCATAGCAGAAGCATAAAGGACTAGGAGGGAAAATAATAATAATGAACAACTATATGCTAGAGACATTTTATGGGGGTGGAGTGAGGAATAGGATAAAAAACGGTGGGGTGGGAAATGCACTGGACTATAGTGATGGCACTGGTGATTTGGTGATGGGAAGTCTTTGGAGATTAAAAGGCACAAGATGATGCAAAAATAAACTGTTATAGTAATGAAAAAATTAATCACAAAAAAGAAATACAAAAAAAGAAACTACAAAAAAATAAATATTTTTGTCTTAAAATTTCTCTGAATGGCCAAATAATCCTTTGACTGTTGAAATTTACATTTCAAAAAGCCTATTTTTGTAACTTTCAGCAAAATCCCCATGCCATTAAGTGAAGCACAATTGTGTGTTATATCATCTATACTCCCTCTTCACTTAAAACTTGGTTGAGGAAATCACATTCCTTAAAGACAGAAAACAATGGGGTATAGTTCATATTTTACAATGATATTTAGTTTCAGAGTGTTAACTCTGCCTCTGCTCTGTTTATTCAAATTTGTCGCTCCATTTTCCAGTTTTAAGATTGTCAGTCTACACTCATAGAAAAACCCTGATGAAAGATGTCTCTGTGGATGTCACCATTTCACTAATTTCCACTAGTGTCCTTTTCAGCGATGTGCCTTAAGCCTACCCAAATGTGTAACTTGGTGATGAGACCTCTAGTCTGGTTGTGCCATCATGTTCTTCCATCATAGTCTTTTAAGTCACATGCCTTGGAAACAATAATCTGCCCGGGTGCTTGGCTCTTGCCTCCTTTGCCATTTCAGCATAATCACTTTCTTCATCCCAGTCACTGATTCCTTGTAACTCCTCAGACACACCAAGTTTTTTTCTAACATCAGGGTCTTTATTATTATATTATTGCCTAGAACATTTTCCCATCAACTCCACATGTCCAGTGCCTCCTCTGGTTTTCTGCCTTAGCTTATACCCCATGAAGACTCTCTTAAGAGTTCTTACCTAACCACCTTCTCTGAAGAAGCTCCCATCCATATTCTCTAAGTTCTTTGTTTTTCTCCTATCTACCACTTATTATAACTTAATTGTATCTGCGTGTATTCTCTCTCTTTTTTGTTTTGTTTTGCCTCTTTTCCTAATAAACATAAACTAGATTACAACATAGATCATGTCTCTTTCTGGTCACTGGATTCTGAACACCACAAACTGTGTCTGGTACTCCCTAGGGGAGAGACTTAAATGTAGTCATCAAATGAGTAAATGAGTGAATGAATTAGTGAATTAATGAATGAACCCAACTATGCAGTAAGCTCTATACAGTCTAAAACTATCATCACTTAACCACTAAATGATTTATTTAAATGTAATGAGAGTAGCAATAAAAGCCAATTAATTACCTTCTTTCATTTTCATATTAAACACATTTCTATAAAAATTAGACATAATTCTCACTGAGATATTTGGGAATAGAATATAAAATATTCCCCGTGAATTTCTGAATTTCAGTAAGAGCTGTGTGGTGCCACACTAGTGCAATATTTGTCAGCCTGTAAAAAAATAAAGTGGGGCCCTCCCTGGTGGCGCAGCGGGTTAAAGCACAGCGCTAAGAAGCTTAAGCCACTTCCGCATGAGTTCGATTCCCGACTGCCCGGGAGGAGATCCACATGGTGAGGCAGACCTCTCCTGATCCGCCCGCTGCTCCCCTCAGCAGTGTACTTCCTCGACCTGCCCGTTCTGCTCCCCACTCTGTCTCTGGTGAATCCTCTCACCCTCCGCATCTCTGGCCTGTACCCCAGTTCTATATGCATAAATAAATAAATCTTTAAAAAAATAAAGTGGAGGACAGTATAGGAAATATCCACATGCATTGCATGGGTTAAGTATACTCTCCAGAAAGTTTTCAGTGTGCTGGTCTGCAAGGTGTGTATGTATAGGAGGCCACAACATGTGACCCAGTCAGTATGCTCTGACATTTTTCCATTTTATCCTTTCTTATCTAGCTACTTTCATAGCTTCTCAAAATCATCATTAAAATGGTGATTCAGCAGGTCTATGATTCCTTATGTCCTACTCACAATGGGGAAACCTTCCCCGCAAGTGCACACCACTATTATAGTTTTTTAGTATTTTCTTACAGATTAACAAAACTTAAATTTTCTCAGAATGCTCAGGTTTGCTATACAGTTCACTCCCAGAGCTCCCGTTGCAACAGAGTGCTGGACTGTTTTTAAGTTAGCCAGGGAAGAACAGCAATGAGATTTGCTGTTCGTTAAATCAAGGATGATAAAATGATTTGACAAACAGTAGTGATATCTGCTAAAATAATACTTACATTAACTCCTGTTTTTTTCTTTCTTTCTCTAAGCTGCCTGCCTTGTACTTGGCTGTATGATTTTTCCTGATGGCTGGGATTCAGATGAAGTAAAACGGATGTGTGGAGAAAAGACAGACAAGTATACTCTTGGGGCTTGTTCAGTCCGCTGGGCATACATCCTGGCTATTATTGGGATACTGGATGCCCTGATCCTCTCATTTCTGGCATTTGTCCTTGGTAACCGACAAGACAGCTTGATGGCAGAGGAACTGAAGGCAGAAAACAAAGGTAAGACTGCTCTGGAGAGCTCTTACATTGATGCGTCAAGCCAAAAATGTGATTGTGTTCATCTTTCACATCAAGTATCACTGTTCCCCCTGTGAGTCTAATTTGCTGTATCTTTTCATGCTGTGTAGTTACTAGCCTCAAGAAGTTTACACAGTTAACGTGGTATTTTGATACTTTTCCTTCTGGAGTTTTCTGAGTTTATTATTTAAATACAGTTTTTTCAGCTGATTTTTTGCTCCAAGTTTAATGATGACACTTTTTTTATTTAACTAAGTGAATAGTGTTTCTTTTCCCCTATTCAGCTTTTTCCCGAGTTGAAACAAATGCCTGAGGCAGCTCAGAAAATCATCTCTAAGTATCTCTATGAAACTGCCCACAATCATTTTAATCCAGACTTACCCTCTTAGAGAGAGGTAGTGATACAGTACCAGAGAATGACAGTTAGAAATTTCAAGTTACCTAGCTAGGTGGATTTTGAATATTATCTGGATAATCAGAAGACTTCAGATTTTTTTTTCCAAAAAGAAAATGCTGAAACACACAAAAATCAAGGTTACAAAATAAGGCTATTAGCTGGCAAATGCCAGGCTTATTACAGGCTTATTACAGTAGGTCATAAAGACAGTAAGTTGTTATTCAAGATGATTGTTTTAATTTTCTTTCCAGATTTCTAAACTAATTTCTAGAGATAGAATTTTACTGTCTATGTTATTATAGAATTAGATTCATTTAAGTGTTTTATCTTTGTGTTATCTTTTATTTGGGGATTATATTTGCAACTTCAATTGAGTGGTTTCTTTTTTTCATTTTTATTTTTAATTGGGAATTAAGTCCATCCTTGAATTATGAAATTTAGCTTATTATTTCAAGTAGTTGCTAACTTCAGAAATGCTTCTCAGCTCCCAATATAAGCATATATTAATATCTACATGAATGTCATACGTAATGATAATGTCTCAAGCTTTATATTTAGATCATCACTGTTTTGCTTAGAAACTGTGAACTATAGAGACAACAATGAAAAATCCAAGAGAACAGCACTCATGCATGAACACTTTCTCTCCCTGCTTTACAGACAGAATATGTTATTTAACTTGATTCTCTCAAGAATATTCTAAACACAAAGATAGTCCTTCCTCAGAGAAGTGGTGCTAAGACTTCCTGAAAACACAACTACTTCCCTCTTAGAGTTGTAGATGAAAAGGATGATAGGAAGAGATTAAGTACTCTTCATAAAGCATGTTGAGATTTAAAGTGCTTTTAATGCATTCATTAATTTGATGCCCTTGTTGGTCTCTATCTGGTTAACCTCACTTCAAATTTCATAGTAAAGATAGTTCAATATTAGACTAAGTCCCCTTTCCCTAAAGAATGAATTAAATAAAATACTTTCTTTTGTAAACTCTTGGTTTTCACCACCACCACCCAATAATGTGCTAAAATGCTACATATTTATTATAAAGTTCTGTTATATTGAGAACCGTTAGCCTGCTGAGACATCTTTTGACCACAGAAAAAATGGAAGGAAATTCAGAAAAAAATAATAACAAACCCAGGGTATTTTTAACTGGCATTTGGAAGTTCTAACTGATAGCCATATAAGTGAGAGCAATTCTGAATTCCTACTTCAGAAAGGAGCAGCTAGAGTTATAGAATAACATTCTCCAGCTTTTAAAATCTTTTCTTCTGATTCAGTTAGATATTGATACCTAGGAACACCTTGGTAAACATAGTGATGGGAATTTTGGACAAGACCAATATTAAGTTTAGGGGTCGTGTATGATTTTCCTGTGTTCACCAACTCCATTGACATGTATCATATTTGCACGTGTCTAGAGTTTCTTCCACCTGGTTCTGAAGCACTAAAATCTGTAGAAGTTCACCTCTATCAAATCAGATAGATCCAACAAGGTAGCAGAAGCAATCCTGAAGAAACATATCAATTGTACCATCTTTTTATTTCAAAAAAGTATCAAGATCTCTACTATGCAAGCCATTTCTAAGTTCCTTAGAAAATAAGGTTAAACCTGCAAGTTTCTAGGAAATGGTACCAGATTTACAATTGTACAAAGTAACTTTTATTGTTTAGCATTACATAAACAGTGGTTCAGTGATGAATCTTGCAAAGTTAGGTTTGTCTGAGGGAAGCCCAATCTGTGATTTTGTATGTTTGTATATGAACATAGTTTCATATATGGTAACATAGTTTTACTACCATAGTTAAGTCATTCTCAAGTGTCACAACATGTGACCCTTAGATTCTAAGGGAAGAGAGATCCAATAAGAATAATTACAATTATAAAATTGGTAAATATATAAATGGGTACTTTTATCACTTGTATAAATGCATGATAAAACTTTTCCATTCTTTTAACTCTTAATTTTTTTTTTCTGGTTGAACTACCAGTACTCCTTAGTGGTCAAGGCAACTTTTGGTTTCCAAGGCAAAGCAACTAGGGGCAAGTCTGGCTTTATGGGATTTTAAAGAATTTTTAACTCCATGATGCATTCTGATATAATGAAAACAGACAGTACCATACTCAAGTTTGATTCAAGAGTAAGAACAGTCATATGTTCTGATATACATGTATCACTGTACATACAGCATCTTTTACAGTATACTTCTAGTTTCATGGCCTTCTGATCATCCATTATCCTAAGTTAATAGCAGGAACATTAGAGAAAGAATAAACCACCAAATGTAGCACATGCCCTAAATTTGATCATTCTTTTCATGGTTATTGTTACTAATCTGGTAATACACTTCCCCCATTTATCTAGAAAAAAATGACCAACTAGGTTCAGTTTTTCCAAGTAGGCATATACTTAGAACTGTGAGTCCTTCTCAATAAACATACCAGTGGTTGAAACACAATCACTACTGCATGAACTCGATAGAGTGCACTGAAGCAGGAAACTCACTGTGCTATTTTTGAGCCATCTTCCATCCAGTCTTAAGATGAAAGGGAATAGACGATACTAGTAAGCCATACATTAACCACACAAAGGTGCTATTTAAAGGGAAAACAGAGCAAGCACACAAGTGAATGTCTCCACTTTATAGCCTGCTTATGCCTCTTGAGAAAGGTTGCCAGTGGATCACCCCAATTCCAATTTCTGTGTCCCACCTTCCACGTTAAGCCCCTCCTTTCCCTGGAGTGCAAATATAATTTGAAAGAGTTCCCCAACTGAAATGTGTTACAAATTGTGAAATGACAAAAGTGTAATAAAGGAGTTTTAACATACTTTCAACAAACAGAAGACAACTTTGAAACTGCAAGTGTTGTCTGAGAGGTGACTTCCATAAAAGATAAAGTTAATTGTCTATGAATCCCCATCAAAGTCCCAGATTATCTTTTTCATGAAAAGCAAAAAATGAAGCCCCACAGAAACAGAAGTGAAAACTCCTGAGATATCCATGACTTTATTCATGATTTGGTGCATGCTAGAAAATTCAACTGGCCTGCTCTGTTACTGGGGAGTCAGTGCTGCAAGCCCCGTGTGTCCCCATCTCTGGGCATAATAGCAAACGGGCAGGTGTTTATTCTTGTTTGGGAGTTCAGCAGCATGATTTCTAAATGAGCCAACAACAGTAGGCATTTAACCTTGATATGCTACTTAATTGCATATTTTAACACATTGAACTGTGAAGTCAATTTAATTATGTAAAATTAAAGTTTCATCCAGATAAAAAGGATTTGAAATGAAAGCTTCATTTTCAATTTCTTTCATTAATTGTGAAAGGATAAATAATTACATTTGCCAGAGCTCCTATGCCACAAATATCTCTTTCCTTGTCTGACACCATTCATAAAAGAGCCTGCTTCTGCATTTGTGTATATGGTCTTTAGAATTGCTTATCAGATAATTGGGTCCTCTCATAAGCAGTTTTAAAGTTACTTTGTCTTCTAGCAATAACATTGCAAATGAGAAAACATGATTATCTATCAAGAGATGACTTCAGTTACCATATATTTAGTAAGTGGCATTTGCTTTTTTTTTTAAATAATACAATAGTTTATTTTTACATAATTTTGTACATTTTTTTTTCATCTCAATTATCCCCGTGGGTTTCCCATCACCAAGTCACCCATGTGCCATCACCATAGTCCAGCACATTTCCCTCCCTTGACTGTTTTTTATCCCATTCCCCACTCCACCCCCATAAATTGTCTCTGGTATATAACTGTTCATTATTAGTGGTATAATTTTCTCACCTGCTATGCGTGAAACCATCTGGTATTTTTCCTTTATACTCCAGCTATGAGCGAAACCATCTGGTATTTTTCCTTTTCTTTCTGGCTTATCTCACTAAGCATGATCTTTTCCAGCTCCATCCAAGTTGCTGCAAAAGACACGTATGTGTGTGTGGTTTTTTTTTTTTTTGGTTGCTGAGTAATATTCCATTGTGTATATGTACCACATCTTTTTAATCCAGTCATCTACTTTTGGGCATTTGGGCTGCTTCCATGTCTTTCCAATTGTAAATAAAGCAGCAATAAACATGGGGGTGCAGGTATCTTTTTGAATCGGTGTTTTTGTGTCTTTGGGGTAGATATCTAGGAGTGGGATTGCTGGGTTGTATGGAAGCTCCATGTTAAGCAGTTTGATGAACCTCCAGGTGTTTGCTTTTTTAAATGCTATAATAGAGGGGACTAGAATAATTTCATTTTAGTTAAATAACTAATTGAGGAAGTCCTAGATGTTTGATTTGGGGTCCCTCCCATACCATGCTCATGATCATATGCAAGCAGCAGCAGAGTATTGTGAAGAGCAGTGTGCTCTGCCTAGAGCTGGTGCTGCGCAGCGTGAACCAAGGTTCTTGCACAGTTCACTTAATAGTTCAGAAGTGAAGCTTCTTCATCCATAAAATGTAGACTCGTCTAAATGGCATCTGAGATTTCTTACAGCTCTAAAAATATTCTAATTCTGGGGACACTTTCAAAGGTTTCTGAGAGTGTCTGAGAGTACCCTCAGAGCAGTGAACACACTGAAGTCTC